CGGGGTGTTAAGAAACGGTTCAAGGCCACCACATGGCGCAATGTCACAAGAGGGCCAAATTGCCCCTCATCACCACTAACTATGGAAAAAAAAAACTTTTGCTCCTTTTAATTTTCCCATGGGTAATGAACCACCTCTCCAATGTTTTAGAAAAATTTAGGGGGTACGTCAACTAAAAAGCAAAAGCAACTTTATTTTTTGTTTTGAAAGGAAAAAATAAGTTGGACCTAGTCTTGAGATGGGCGACCTAATCCTGTGATGGTCGACCTGGCCCTGTGACGGGCGACCTGGTCCTGCGGTAGACGACTTAGTCCTGAGATGGCTGACCTGGTCTTGGGCCGAGTTGCCTACGTGACGTCGGGGTGTTAAGAAACGGTTCAAGGCCACCACATGGCGCAATGTCACAAGAGGGCCAAATTGCCCCTCATCACCACTAACTATGGAAAAAAAAAAAACTTTTGCTCCTTTTAATTTTCCCATGGGTAATAAACCACCTCTCCAATGTTTTAGAAAAATTTAGGGGGTACGTCAACCAAAAAGCAAAAGCAACTTTATTTTTTGTTTTGAAAGGAAAAAATAAGTTGGATTTGTTTCAAAAAAGTAATTCATATTTTTAGAACCATCAAAATAATGGTGTTGGCCAATGTGAAGGGTTTTGTTTTAGAACACAAAACAATTCATATCGGTGAACACCCCTATATAATTTATGAAACATGATACTAAGTGGGGGTTCTATAACATGAATATTTTTGTTTTCATCTGTTTTCAGAATAGCAGCGTCAGCAAAAAAATAAAATAAAAAACATCTTTCAAAGGAAAAAAGAATATGATTTTGTTTCAAAAAACAATACATGTTTTTGAAACCAACAAAATAATGGTTTTTATTTCTCTTTTTGTTTTAAGAAACAAACTATTTTCAAACTAAATGGCTGTTTTGATTTGTTTTTGGAACCGACAATAACATGAAAAACAATTCACATTGTATGAGACATTCTACATGTTTTTGTTTTCATTTGTTTTTGAAACCGCCACATCTACCAAAAAACAAAAACATGTTCTTGAACTCTATTTTTGTTTTCAAGGAGAAAACAAGTTGATTTCCTTTCAAAAAACAATACTTGTTTTTTGAACCATCAAAATAATGGTTTTTAAAACAAAAACAAATCTTGTAATGTAAAAATTATATTATTTATAGAACATGATATTAAATAACCAAATGAAAACATGTTTTTGAAACTAGAAATTGAAGAACATTTTTTTTGTTTCAATTGAAAACTAAAAACATATACACAACCAAGAACATGCTTTAAAAAAAAATCTATTTTCAAATCAGATGGTTTTTTTTTTTGAAACAACAACAAAAACGAATTTCAAGAACACAGTTTTTGCTTCAATTTTGAAAACAAAAAACACATATTTTCTGTGTTTTTTAAGAATTAATTTGTTTTCAAACCAGCTGATTTTGTCTTGTTTCCGAAACTGCTAGCAAGAAAAATAATTCACACTGAAAAACATTTCCTTAGAATTTTTGGGGGCATTCTACAACATGAATTGATTTTCTTGTTGCCGGTTCTAAAAACAAATCAAAACGATCTTGCTTCAAAACAGATTATTCCTTAAAACAAAAAGCATAAGAAACATGCTCTTGGTTGCGTCCATGTTTTTTGTTTTCAAAACTGAAACCAAAAACATGTTCTAGAATCTGGTTTTGAAAACATGTTTTCATCTAAGTATTCAACACCATGTTTGACAAATCATATAATTTCTATACTAAAAGATTTGCTTTCGTTTTAAAAACCAATATAATCTTGGTTTCAAAGATGTATTGTTTTTCAAAACAAAACCAATATGTTTTTCACTTTGAAAACAAAAAAGCAGTTCAAGAACATTTTTTTTGCTGATATAATGATTCCAAAAACAAATGAAAACAAAAAAACATTTATGTTGTAGAACCCCCCTCCGTGATGACAGCAGCGCCAAATCAGGATTTCCTCCTTTCTAAAAGGAGCCAAAATGAATTTTACTAACCCACTAATCATGGTTTTAGCATATAGCACCTTGCCCCTATAGGGCCTCTTACCAAATCAAACAAAACAAAACAAAGCCACTATGGGGCCAAAGCTGCATTACCAAATTAAAAAACATAGAAAAAGCAATCTATAGTGTGTGTATAATAAAGTCTGCCATACACTTAACATCAATAGGTTGGGCAGTAGTCTTGATTGGAGAAGGAAACCTATTTTACATCTCTACCCCACAAGGGGCCGCCCCACAGCACAT